GCCCTATTTTCAGCCTCCGTGCATCCAATTTTCAGCCTCCACGTGTCTCATTTTTGGCCCATTCCAGGTAGCCCATTGCTGTACTGCCTGGAACGGGCCAAAAATGGGATGGGCAGAGATAGAGAAAATGGGACACATGGAAGCCGAAAATGGGATGTGCAGAGGCAGTGATAGGCGGCAACGATCCCCACAGCTGATTGGTGGTATTCCAGGAGGCCAATCCAATCACCAATGAGCTGCTGATGCTAAATCAGGCTGCAATAACATGAAGCTGACCAGGCTGTTTGCTGCAAGGATGCTAGCCAGATGAATACTGGTTTATGCTGGAAGGCAGGGGCAGATTTTTTTTCTTGTTTTCTTCCCCAAAATTTAGTTACGTCTTATGGTCCGGAGCATCTTATAGACCGAAAAATATGGTAATATTTGAAGTCCAGCCCCCATTAAAATTCAATTGTAATGGTGTTGGTTGTCACCTGTTATTGTTTCAACTTTACACTATTTTTGTATGGTAACATGAAACAGTTTTGCTCTAACTTTACAACAAGAACATTATTACTTACAATGTTATTACTTACAATGTTTCCACTTGTTCGAATTCTTTTTCAACTTCTGCAAAGAGAAAGAAACCAATATGATTTTTATTTTGTGTTGGTATATTTTACTCACTTCCTTACTTATTTAAGATTTCAAGCCTGACTCAAGCCTTTGAGTCAGTCTTGGCTCCTGGTGACCGTCTGGATTACATGTTTTCATTTTTGGGAAGTAGTTTGCAATTGCCTGTTTCTTAGGACTGAGAGAGAGAAACTGGCCCAAGACACACAGTTGATTTTCAAGTCTAAGGTGGAACTAGAACTCACAATCTCCTGGTTTCTAACCTGGTGCCTTAAACACTAGACCAAACTGTGTATAGTTTTATTCAGAGCCATAGTGGCGCAATGGATAGAGTGCCGTTACGGCAGGCTACTTCTGCTGATCACCTTCTGCCAGCAGTTTGGCAATTGACTCAGCCTTCCATCCTTCTGAAGTTGGTAAAATGAGGACCGCGATTGTTGGAGGTAATATGCTGACTCTGTAAACAGCTTAGAGAGAGCTGTAAACCACTATGAAGTGGTAAAAAAGTGCTATTGCTATTTATTTGTTTGTTTGTTTATGAGTTTACGGGATTCTATATTAAATTGTTAGGGATGTGGTGGCTCGGTGGCTAAGATACAGAGCTTGTTGAGCAAAAAGGTTGGCAGTTTGGTGGTTCGAATCCCTAGTGCCACATAATGGAGTGAGCTCCCGTTACTTATCCCAGCTTCTGCCAACCTAGCAGTTCAAAAGCATGTAAAAATGCAAGTAGAAAAATAGGCAAATTGGTGGGGAGGTAACAGAGTTCGGATGCCTTCGGCATTTAGTCATGCCAGCCACTTGACCACAGAGATATCTTAGGACAGCCCTGGCTCTTCAGCTTTGTAACGGAGATTAGCACTGCCCCCTAGAGACAGGAATGACTAGCACATATGTGCGAGGGTAACCTTTACCTTTACCTTATAATCAATTTTATAGTTAATATAATTGATTAACATGACTGCTTACAAATTCTTTCTACGAAAGGAATCATGCCTGAGGTGGAAATATGGAAAGCACAAATTTTCAAAAATGGAATACTGCAGCTGGAAGCACATTACATGGTGTGAAATACTTTTCCCACTAATACTGCAAGATAAAAAGCTGCTGTTTCTTCCTTTAGTGTGCAGAAGACCTTTACCCATTTAATTATGAGTATAGTTAACAGCCACATTAATTTAATGTCAATACATTTCCTCTCTTAGAGTGTGACCAGGTGATTTTACTTTGTACTTACTTAAATATTGTTACTTTTTAAAAACACTGCCAACTAATGAAATCTCTTTGTTGCATATAATAAAGAAATAATAAGATAATAAAACATAAAATAAATAATTTTGTTGAAGTGAAGGAATAAAAATAAAGCAAAAAATTTAAACTCTTGATATGTAATAATTATCCCCATAAAAAGGGGACTATGTATTGAACATCTTTTGGAAAAGTTTCAGTTCTTCCAATGTGATAAGAAGCACACATAAGCATTTGACCAAAGATATAAGGTCATCATGACATCATCTCACAAATGACACAAAGCATGCAGTTCTTATGCAGGATGAAGTCATGATACCAATGGCTGGAAAAGGCCTGAAAACAGCCCGAAAAACGGACTGAAAACAGCCCAAAAGGCCTGAGATTGACCTGAAATTCAGCCTGAAAATAGCCCCAAAACCAGACTGTTTGGGGGTTTTTTCTGGGCATTTTCAGGGCATTTGGGGGGGGGGTGTTCAGGCCAATTTTCAGGATGGAAAAACTGCCTGAAAACAGCCCAAAAATGAACTGAAAACAGCCTGAAAAAGTGACTGTTTTTCAGCATTTCTGGGGTCATTTTCAGGATTATTTTGGCTTGAAAAATGGTTTGAAAATGGACTGAAAAATAGACTGAAAACAGCATGAAAAACAGAGTGTTTTGGGATGTTTTGGGGGACGTTTTCAGGCTGATTTTGGGGCCAATTTTGGCTGGAAAAATGTCCTGAAAATGTTCTGAAAAATGCCCTGAAGACATCCAAAAAACAGACTGTTTTTGGATGTTTTAAGGCTGTTTTCCCAGACAAAATCACCCTGAAATTGGGCAGGGACGGGGCCAGCCAGTGGTCTGAATTGCCTGTTTGAACTGCACAGAATCAGAACTACCAGTTCGGGTGAACTGGTCTGAACCGGCAGCAGCCCACCCTTGGGTATGTATGGAGAATAAAGTTTTCTTCTGCATTGTAATCTGCAACGAAGGCACTTTGCCTTTTCTTGGAGACCAACTGGAGGACATGAGTTGTCCCTTTCAGTGGCCACAGATATTATTTTAGGATTCGCAACATTTCTCTCCCAGTCCACCACATTCCTTTCTGATATGCAACAAAACCACCAAACGAAACTGCGCCTCAACCTCTTTGTTGAATTCAATTTTAAAACATGAAATATTTGGAGCACATACAAAACCTTTAATGTTCTTGTTCAAAAATATAGCACCTGTGCGATTCCACTCATCATTTAGCTTTCTACTGAATAGCAAACAAACCCAGATAGTTTGAAGTAAGCACCATTTCCTTAGAGATGTTTTGAGAGGCAGAGGTAGTTACTTGTGTCCTGACTCTATGAATGGCTTTTCAAAAGAAGAAGAAAATCCTCTGGTAAAGCAACTCTTTGTTAGTTATAATAAAGCAAGGATGGCAGTTAAGGATTTATGGGCATCATGTATTGTTTGATGTTTTTCCTGCAAAAATTGCTGGGTGGTGGTGGAATCAGCAAACTCAGCAAAAGAATTCGCTAGCAACACATGCTAGCAATTTCACAGATGGACAAAATGAATCATTTTGCTTGCTGGCTCAAAATTGAAAATCATTTTTATGGGGAAATCGTTTTGTCCTGTGTACAATGGTAAAGTCAGGCTATATGACCTGTCAACAACATCTGCATTATGCAGTGATACCAAAATGATAACATACACATAATGTTGTTTTTTTACACTTATGTTTTGATGCCTGGTGAATGTACCTAAACCATGCCATTTGTGTCATGGTGTAGTCACTTTTTGTTGTGTGTGTCCCTCTTGCTCCCAAGAACAATGTTCACTTTTTAAATGTATCCCTGGATCCAGGACCACATGAAGATAATTTAGAATTTAGAATTTAGAATTTA